GAGAAGGTGAGCAAGAGGCTTCTCTGTGCCGGACTGGTCCTCCCGCAGACATAACGAAGAGCCACGTCTGCTGAATGCAGAGGAGGCATCCATACCTCTCCTACACTGACCTCGGAGAGGCCGGGTGGGTTAAGGGCAAGGACTCTGGAACCTCGTGGCCACGGCCGGACTGCAGCTTCTCTGCCCACCAGCTATGTGGCCTTGGTCAAAATGCTCACCCTCTGTCCTCACTTCCCTCCATATCAGTGTGGGGTAAGGATAGTAGCTGCCTTGTGGGGATCCCCTTGAACGAAATAATTTTTTTAAAAATTTTAATGTTTGTTTTTGAGAGAGAGAGACACACACACACACACAGAGTGCAGCAGGGGAGGGGCAGAGAAATAGGGAGCCACTGAATCCGAAGCAGGCTCCAGGCTCTGAGCTGTCAGCACAGAGCCCCACCCAGGGCTCGAACTCACAGACCGCAAGATCATGACCTGAGCCGAAGTCAGACACAACTGACTGAGCCACCCAGGCGTCCTTTGAACGAAATAATTTAACACCATACAATATTTAGAACAGCTCCTAGTAAGTGCTCAATCATTGCTGTTATTCATAGAGCTCGCAAAATTCAAAACGTTACATAGTGTCCAAAGGATTAAGGCCCGGGGCCTGGGGGATCCTTTCAGTGGCAGGCTGAAGCGGATGCTGTCGGTCGCCTTCTGCAAATCCACTCACCCCTATTCCTTTCCCCTTCTAACAAAACCCTCCATTTTCCATTTTTGGTCAGACATGTACCCTCCGGTGGCCCTGTACTTCAGGGGAGGGAGTCAGGCCACAGCCCCAGGAAGTAATCAGGGCTGGTTCAGGCCAGATGTGCCCGATTCCCACTAAATGCCTCTGCTTCCCTAGGGAGACTACAAGGGCGGAGAATTTAACAGAAGAGAGACCTCAAGGACCCATCGAGCAGAGGCCAAGTCATGGCACAGAAGAGGAGCAAAGGAAAGAACATATTTGTGACCCAATGTAAAGCAAGGGTCGAGGGAGTAAGAGCAAGCGAGGCAAGCACAGGACTCAGGGTCCCTTCTGAGTAGGACCCCCTGCAGCGCCAACAGGGGACCAGGACCAGGTGGAGCCAGAAGATGGTGCCCTGAGGACTACCTGGGCTAACAGAGCTTCTCTTCTCCCACATACAGCCCCCACCCCCACCCACCCCGGGATCAGGCTGCAGCTTGTTCCCATGAAACCAGGGATCCCAGTCACTGAAAGATGGAGACATGGGACCTGAAGGTCATCCCGTCTGGCCCCCCCATCCCACCCCGTGACCGACAAGAGAAAATGAGGCTCAGAGAGCCCCAAGGCCCAACTGGATAATGAGCGGGAACGTGAACCTATGTTGGAGGGTCTAAGTGTCCGTGAAGAAGGGAGAGGCTGAGGAACCAAACATCAGACCAAGCTCGCTGCACAATTAGGAAACACAAGCACTGGGGTTCGGTCGGTTTGGGAAACTAACTGCTAACTATATGTTAGTTTAGGAAGGTTAGGGGCGCCTGGGCAGCTCAGTCGGTTGAGTGTCCGACTTTGGCTCAGGTCATGATCTCGCGGTTTGTGGGCTCGAGCCCCGCATCAGGCTCTGTGCTGACAGCTAGCTCAGAGCCTAGAGCCTGCTTCGGATTCTGTGTCTCCCTCTCTCTCTGCCCATTGCCCGCTCACACTCTGTCTCTCTCCTTGTCTCAAAAATAAATAAACATTAAAAAAAAAAAAAAAAAGGAAGGCTAGACCACACACACCACTTAGCAAAGTCTGGCTCCCAAAATTCAGAGACATTTGCACGCATTCTTGGCTCTAACAAGCCATGTGGACTTATATTTAAAACAAAATAATGAGCACTCTCTCATTCCCAAACCAGATAGATCACCCGGCGGTGACAACATATGTCTAAAGACAGCCTGTTTTTAATAACTCCCAGGTATTCGTCTCAGCCTCCAGCACTCATGTGCGGACCCTTTGCGGGACAAGAGACTTAACTAGAAATACGCTACGACACATAGCAAACAGGTGAGCATATCTGGTTTTGTTCTATTTATTTGGGGAGTGGTGGGAAGGGAGGAGGTTCACTGGTGTTCCAGCCTCTCCTGTAGAGGCAGCTGGCATAATAATCAGACAGTGATGGCTGGCTTTGTCCAACTGCTCCAGGTGCTTTACACGCTGGGTGTTTTTAAGCCACACTCCAGCACTTCTGTGAACTAGGATGTAACAGGAAGTTACTCAGATAGGAGGGTGGAAAGCTCTCCGGAGAAGGGAAGAAGGGAACGGTGTGTTTTGATCTGCAAAGCCAACCCAGCTAGGTGTCTCCCCAGAGAGCCCACTGATAGGTGTGTCTTGCCCGACAGCCCCTTACGGGAGCCAGTTTGAGCTGGATGGGAGCTGAGGACCTGTGCCCAAGTCCCCCTGGGTTGCCCTGGAGTGAGTCACCTTTTGCTCATTACAATACTAAGATCGCCTCCCGTAAGCGGGGTTTTTCGCCATTTTGTTTTGAACATACGAAGTATGCACACTAGCATGGTGACCTGCTGGCATGTGCCATTGAGCCCAAGTGCCTATGTCAGCCCCTGCCCTCAATACGCGGAATAAAAGCTTCCTGTCCTAACCCCCCAGGGAGACAGTGCTTTGAGAACGATCTCCCTGTCTCCTTACTTGTAACAGGTAATACAAAGTTCTTTGCTTTCAACATTTCCTTGGGCTGAGTTCAGTTTGATGCACCCCAAGCAGTAAGCCCCTTGGGCTCAGTTATTCTTTGAGGTGATGTTATTGTCCCCACTAACGGAGGAAGAAACGCAGTGATAAGAGCTTGTCGAGGCCGCTGGTCAATGGCAGAGCTCCAAGATGGAGACCCAGAGCAGACCGGGTCCCATTAAAAAGACAGCCACAGGCACTCGGTGGAGTCACTTGTCCTCAGCAGAGCAAACCAAGACTTATTTGAAGTTTCATCTTCTCCAGGAGTGGAATTTGAAAGCCAGTCAATCTGGAATTTACTGGTCAGCACAGATGAGGTCATCTGTCACGTGGGCCCTCTCTATTCCTCCCACTCCCAAAGAAAGCTGAGGTAATCCGCCTCATAAGACCCCTTGTCCTCCGCCCCAGGGAAAATGACCTGGCCTGAAACAACCCTTACTTTCTGTCCGCTAACAGCTTCTTGCCCAGCCCCCCTCTCTCTATAACCCAACTCCTTGCAGCTCCCCTCTCCTTTGCTTCCTGGGATGGTGCTCAATTCATGAGTGGCTCAAAAAGCCAATTAGATCTTCACATTTACTCGGTTGAGTTTTGTGGGGTTTTTTTAAACAGGCCCCAGGTCAGTCTTGTCCTCCTCCACCTGCGTGCCCAGAATCAGGGTCCCAGGTAGAATTGGGGCTGCAGTGGATGCTGCCCGAATGCACCGCAGGGCACTCCCCGGAGCTGCCCAGGGATTTAGCGCTACTGCAGTCACCCCTCCTCAGCTTTCTCCCCAGAAGTTGCTAGAAAGCTGCACTGTGGAAGCCCACTGATTAACTCACTCCTAACCAGCAGGAGGGCTTCCCCCGCTGTTAGGATAAGAGGGAGGGGGCTGGGGTAATAGAGGAGTTAGATCAAGGGCTGGCTCGTGGTGGAGTCCCCTTTTAACTGTTCTCATCAAAGCCTTATCATTGGTAATTTCCAATCCCGGCCTAGGTCCGCACACGCCACGCTCGCTGAAATGCGCTAATTTTTTTTTTTTAGTGTTTATTTATTTTTGAGAGAGAGAGAAAGATTGTGAGCAGGGAAGGGGGAGAGAGGGAGGGAGGTAGAGAATCCCAAGCAGGCTCAGCACTGCTGGCGCAGAGCCCGACACAGGGCTTGATCTCACCAACCGTGAGATCATGACCTGAGCTGAAATCAAGAGTGGGGTGCATAACTGACTGAGTCACCCAGGCGCCCCTGAAATGCTGTATTTTTGATCCACGATGGTGTTTATGTTGATATGATGATTCTCATAAATGGTTGACTTTCCCAGGAGTATTTCACGATTAACACAGTTTATAGAGAGACAAATTAAAAGTGTACCATAAATAATACCAATCAAATGACATATTTCTTACAGAGTAACAAATGAACCATAATAGCAAAACCAAATAATTACACCAGGGTTCTTACTAGTAAAGGCTATAGTTAAACCAGAGTTTTAGGAGTATATAACGCTAAGAAATATCACATTGAGATGAATTTTCTGGTGTCAGTGGTATCATCCAGGGAAATTTAGACAAACATTTTGTGGATTTCTGGCTATTTTTTATTTTGAAATGCATGAAAATCTCAGAAGTTTCAAAATGGAAAGAAAATTTGTCACATTTCAAACCAACATATTGAATCGGGTAAATTAAATCATGATTCTCAAACTGCTCGCATAACTGACAGGCTCAAATGCATTTTAAAAGGGGTCTGATTCCAAGCCCAGAAAGCCACCAGCCTCTCCTCCCCTGCTGGCTGTGTGCAACGATGTCCAAACGGAATCAGCAAACAGAAGCAGAGCTATCTGCCCGTCTTCTACAGGTAGTAGCTTCTGTGGCTAAATTGCTCCATACTTAACTATGTATCGCTCGGAGTTTTACCAGTTCTTTTTACCATGCTGCCTTTGATTGGCATTTACTGCTGAAAAGCAGGAGTTTTCTCTTTCTAAAGAGATCCTGGCTTCAGCCTTCGACAAATCCAGAAAGGACAGCCGTACTACTGAGGCTTTAAAGTTAATACAAAAGTGATTAATATTCCAGGACTTCTGTTGGCGTCATTCATTCATTCAAAGGGACGCCATCCCAGGCAGTGGAAGCCACCTGAATATAAGCTTTCGCACGGGCTCGTTACGGGATCTATTTGTCAGACAGCTTCGATGCGAGAGCACAGACCACGAGGTGTGGCTCATTCTATTTCATCTACCTCTGCTAACAATGACTTTTGACAGAAGAGGTGGGAGGAGGTGGGGGGGAAGAATTTTAAAAGATCTCTATTACCTTTTCTCCTACTTGGATTTCAAGTTCTTTAACTGTCCGACTGCAATTCATTTCATTCCCACCTCCCCTTAAAAATAAAAATAAGAGCTTTTTGTTAAAATGTTTTAACCAAACAAATGCTTATGTAGGGTATGCAGAGAGCAAAATGATAAGTATTTCTAAATTATATATTTATAAGCGCACCGTATTTCTTAAGCACTGCTGTCGGTCAGCAGTGTGGACCTGGGCAAGTCCCTAGCTTCTCCGTGCCTCAGTTTCCTCACCCATAAAATGAAATATACTAGCATTTCTTCCTCCCAGGTAGTGTTGGAACTGAGTACTTAGTGCTGACACTTAATGAGCACTTCCTATGAAGAGTCCCATCTGATTTAATCCTCAGGACAACTGTGTGGGTCAGGGGTCATCATCGTCCTGGTTTACAAAGAGACTGAGGGAGACGAAGGTCACGGGTGGAGAAGTCGAGGTGCTGGGCCACACCCCACACCCCTCTGCTCTGCTGCAGTCCTCTGTTCTGACCTCTAAGGGGTTCCCAGTCCACTCCGGGGACCTCAGCCGCGCTGTAAAGGACTCCATGGTGGAGGTGTATCTGTACCATCCCCGTGGCTCCATCTGCTTTTATTAACGAGTTTTTATCTCGCATTATGCATGTGCTTATAAACTAGTTCAGAGCCCCTCCTTGGAACAAACTGGTAGAAACCTACAAGCATAGAAGCCAGGAACAATCCACCTGAAGGAACAGCTCTCTGGGTAAAGCAACGGGTGGACGGACACAGTGGCATGAAGCCGAGGGGGCCGGAGCTCAGCACGTCTGTCCCAGCTTTGCTAGCTGTCGGTGGCCATGGAGACCAGAGCACGCCCCGCAGGGCAGGGGACCTGGGTGAGTGCAGGGACAGAAGCAGACGCCAGCTCGGCAGCGCTGTGGCCATGGTAAGGGAGCTGGACTTCATACTGGGGTAACCGGAAGCCACTGGAGCGTTTTCAGCAGAAATCAACTTCATTTACGTTGGAGGAAACTGAGGCTGGAGGATTAAGTGCCCAACTTCAACACGGAAACTCGCCAGGAATCCAGCCTTATGATTCTATATTAAATGTAATATTTTTTATGTCTTAATTATGTATTGAAGAGACAAAACACTGTTTTTAAGATATGCTTAAGATTTAAAGAAAAAAAATCAGACAAATGCTTGTGTACCCACCGTCAGACGGAGAACAGAAGCAGCGCGGGTGTCCCCGGAGCCCGGCGCGAACTCGCTCCCAATCTCAGCCTCCTCGCCCCCCTCGCCCACCCCGCCTCAGCCCGCAGGGCAACTCCTCGGCCCAACTCCATTCTGGCCCTGTTTTTCCCTTTCCACGTGGCCTGACATCAGGGCTTGAGCCTATGCTATGGCAAGAAGAGGGAAGGGCCCCTGTGTTCCCGCAGAAAGAGACCTCAGCCTTACAGATTCTAGGCTGGCAAATACTTTATTCCCCGCGTATCAGAGAGGCCTTCCCACTGTCCCACACCTGGGACCCCAGCCTCAGTCTATGGTCGGTCCCCTTGGCCAGTCTGGTTTCTCCTCTCACTGCCTTTCCTGTCCTCTCTCTGACTGTGCTCTGCGGCTTCCCTGGCACGTGCCTACGTAGGCGTTTCTTTGCATTTGGCTGCCGTAAGCTCCTCAGCCGTCACCCTTTCCAATATCTCTCTTCCCTATCCTTTCCCTGCCCGTCTGGAAATCCAATAAGAAACCTCTTGGCCTTCTCTTTCTCTCCACTGTGTCTCTCACACCTGTCCTCTATATTTTATCTCTCTTTGTCTTTCTGGATAACTGCTTTGGAACTATTTCCCACTCCACTAATGCTCCTTTCAGCTGTATTCAATCCACGACTTTCACCCAGCCACCAAATTTTATATCTACAATTATTATTGCGTCTTCCAGTGCCAGAAGGTCTTGTCCGTACTTCTCCAAATCTTTCTTTTTTTTTTTCCTTTTGGCCTCGTATTTTGTATTTATATATTGAGTCCATTCTTTCATTTCTCTGAACGTTCTAAAATAGTTGTAGACTTTATATCTGATAGTTCCAGTATTTCGAGCATTCGGATATCTGATTCTAGGGGACACTTTCTATTGATTTGCCATCCTCACTCTTTGTCTCTTCGTATGTTTTCAGTATTTTGTGTGTGTGGTCTGATATTACTGGGGACTCTGGAAACTCTTTAAGGGCTAAGTTGAAAATGTATTCCTCTACGGAAGGCCACACCCAGTCCAGGACCAGTTTTAAGTAAATTTTAAGTAAATTCCTAGCCTAAGACTTTTCAGACCACACAAGTAGCATTATTTCAGCACTGACGTGCATAAATATTGACTTATTGTCCTTTACCCAAAAGCAGCGTGGAAATAAGTAGGTTTCCTCACTGTGCCCTTCTGTGATGCAGATTCATATTTATAACTTGTCCTTACAGGAGGGTTTAGGCGTCCTAACTTTATATGTCCTGGTCTTCTGTTGGGTCCCTCCACCTTGGGCAGGCCCTCTAGGGTCTGTCTCCTATCCCCTCCACTCCAAATAGCCAACCAAGCTGAAACACAAATCCACTAAGACTTAGCCAACACTCTCAGCGCAAAAGCTGGCTTTAATCTCCATGTCAGGTTGGCCTCTAACGAGTCTACTTTCTGGCCAGCTCACGAATGAATGAAAATGTGTGTATAAATTTTATCTGATATCAGTCAGTTTAATTGTTTCCAGTGGAAGTGTGTTCATGGATATAGCCTACCATATTACTGTATTACCATACTACCGTATTGCCGTATTACCATTCTACCATATTACCGTTTTACCAGAGGGAGCATTTCCATTCACTATAACTCATTATCTCCAACAGTAAAGAAAACTTGGCCTCAGGAGTTAAGTCAGTTTTCAGCTAAACCTTTCAAATTTAGTTTAAACATTTAGCTTTTTATGTTTAAGGAAGTAGCTTGTGATCCTTTTCGTCTCAAGCTAATTATTAGACTGATGTTTCACAATTAAAGGAACAAAGACAAAAGACAGTAAAAGAACTCTCCTGCTTTCGGGTTTTCTAGTTGTTTAGCTTTTCCGACAAAGAACATTCAAATGAGGGGACTGTGTACCTTATCACAGATGGGGACTGTTTTAGGTTAGGAGAATCAATGTTCAGTTTATAAAACAGTCATTCTTTTGAATAAATCTGGAGATGATCTCAGCCCACCACTTACAGATCATTAACGAAACAGAGCACAGGGAAGTCCCTGGCCACCTCGGGGCTAATACTTCGTCACTCTTGTTGGCGCTGCTGCAGTGATTCTTTTTTTTTAATTGTGGTTAAAAAAAAAACAAAAACCCTGCATGACATAAAATTTCCCATCCTGATCATGTTTAAGCGTGCAGTTTAGTAGTCTTAAGTATATTCACGCTGCTGTGCACCACATCTCTGAAACCCACGCCCATTGAACAACCCCCTGCACGCCCTCCCCTCTGCTGCGTGAATTCTTACACCTACGCTGGCAGCCACGATTGCTTCAGTCAGGAAAGCTATCACGGCAAAACTTGCTAATATTTCAAGATAGGATTTAACTCTTAAAACTGCATGACTCCTGAGAAAATGCAGTTTATTCATTTAGAGTCAGAGAATCTGAGTAATTGTTTTACTAAAACTGTCTTTCCTACATCATGCACTAGAATCAAAGAACCTTCTGGCTGATAGAGACATGAGGGTTCAGACCCTAACACTCCCCTTTTGCAGGTAAAGCAAATGAGGCCCAAGCGCATGCTACAGTTATAAAATACGAAGGAGCTCATACAGAGATCTCTTTAAAAAATATTTCATTTCTAAATCCTAAAACATGATCACTTTTGAATTAGAGACATTAGACATAAAACTAAAATGAGCAAATTTCTACTTTGCATCTTAATATTTTTACTTCAAAATTAAAATGTATTATTTTCAAACCTGAAATATACTGCACATAATCTGTGTTAGCATGGTCCTAATTTGTTATGTTTCCATTTCTAATATAGTATTATTTCTTTTATCCTGAAATATATCCTACATTGATGTTAGAGACTTCTCCACATAAACTTCTGACTGAGGATTGATTAACTCCATTAAATTCTATATGAACAAGCTCTACTAGCTCATCTTCCATACATATCTGTTGACCTGACTGCCTCCCACGACCTTACGTCCTCTCTCTTATCATTCCATAATTCACATTTTCATACAAACAAAAGAAACCACTTACCTCTTTATAACATTTATATTTAGGCCCATTCCACCGAACCTGGACAGGAATTCAAGGTAAGGAATGGTCCCAGAGCTGGTGACGGGGATCTACATTCAAACAAGAAGAATGATAGCCCATTAGAGGATTCGGATCCGAGTAGTAGACAGCAAGGAGGTCTCCTGGTGTAGGACAGGGTACCAGTAGAGGGATGGGTATTCCAGGAGGCATAGCTGCTTCACCCAGGTGTCTGAGTTGACATACATACTCAGTAAACTGGGTACAAACAGCATCAGTGCCAGCTCAATCTGTGATCAATTAAAAGTCAATGAGTTGTCTACAAAATTGTCTGAAATCTGGTTCTATCTAAAACATAAAGTAAAATTAGGGGTGCCTGGGTAGGTTCAGTTGGTTGAGTGTCCAACTCTTGATTTGGACTCAGGTCATGATCCCAGGGTCATGAGGTCAAGCCCCTCATCAGACTCTACGCTGAGAGTGGAGCCTGCTTGGGATTCTCTGTCTCACTCCCTCTCCCCTGCTCGCAGGCTCTGTCTCTAAAATAAAAATAAATAGGGGGCGTCTGGGGTGGCTCAGTCAGTTGAGCATCGGACTTCGGCTCAGGTCATGATCTCATGATTTGTGAATCTGAGCCCCATGTCAAACTCTGCGCTGACAATCAGCTTGGAGCCTGGAGCCCACTTTAGACCCTGTGTCTCCCTCTCTCTACCACTCTCCCACTCGTACTCTGTCTCTCTCTCTCAAAAATAAACATTAAAAAAAATTAAAATGAAAATAAAAATTTTAAAAGTAAAGTAAAATTCATAGAAATATATTCTAATATATATTTTATATGTATTTATATGTGTATATATATGTATATGTATAAATGTATATAATATATGTATTTGTCCCCAAGAGGCTCTGGACACAGCACAATTTTACCCTCTGAGTGTCATGTGCCCTTTCTGTACATTCGTATACTTTAAAGGTAGGAAAAAAAGCGCCATTTTTAAATTAAAAATTCTATAAACGACATTATTGGGTCAAGTGGGTCAATATGGACTATAGGTTAAAGTATTATCTCAATGTTTAATTTGCTACTGCTGATAACTATACTGTGATGATGTAAGAGAACAGTTTTTATGTTTAGGAAAGACACAGCGAAGTTTTTACAAGTAAATAACCAAATATAAGCAGCTTCCTCTCCAACAGTTCAGAAAAAAATCATGTATCCAGTGTATATGTCTTGTAGAGCGTTTGCGCCTCCACACAGACCACTCATGGGACACAAAAGATCACAGGAGAAGCAAATGAGATTATGTGTTCACAACAGGCAAATCCGGGTAAAAGGTCTATGGGTACTATTATTTGTATTATTCTTAGTCTTACAGATTTTCTCGAGGTTTGAAATTACTTCTAAAGAAAAAGTCTAATTTTTTAAAAAGTGAAAATAGTTATCTCCCCCCAAAAAGATTAGGAAACTAAAGTTAAAACATGGAATCCATACAGATATATTTGATTAAGCCTCGTGCAAACACACAAAGTACGGGTTTCCGTACAGCTGAGTGGTTCCAACGTCTATATAGTCAAGTTTGATGTTCACTTAGCCCTTAAAATTCCAGCCTCGAAGCCTACATGGCTACCTCAGTCTTCCCCAAAGGACAAATTTCTCTTTTCTATTTAAAACATGTGTGACTAGGAACTGGGACCAGAGGGAGAGTGTCACAGGGTGGGCCTCTGTGAAGACGTGTCCTGAAAACAACATCCATGATTTCTATTTCGGACAGAGTATTTTTTAGGAGACCTAAGTTTGGGGTAGACACCTCAAAGTCTGCCTGACCTTATAGAAGAAGGGCAAGAACGGAATATATGTGTTACTCCAAGACAGGAGGCCTCACGGTTTGGGGAGTAAGACTTCATGACGAGGGAGAAAAATGTACAATTACAGAGCTCATACTCAACAGATGGGCACAAGCACTACCCTTGGTGTCTTATAGGAGTTAACTCCTGTGTCCCAAAACCAGCCTCTGAGGGTGTGGTCATTTTCCACATTTCACAGAGCAGAGATGTGACCTCCCTGCTTGGTGCTACCGTTAAGTGTCAGAATTCTCTGTGACTCCAGAGCCCAAGTCCCTGTCATTGCACTAACCACTCTGCGAAGAAAGAAGGAAAGAAGGAAAGAAGGAAGGAAGGAAGGAAGGGAGAGAAAAAGAGAGAAAGACAAAGAAAGAAGAGAGGAAAGAAGGAAGGAGAGAGAAAGGAAGAGAGAGAGAAAGGAAGAGAGGGAGGAAGGGAGGGAGGAAGAAAGTCCCTTTACCTATTGAAGCTTGTCACACTTCACATTGTTACTTATGGTCTAACGAAAATTCTAATCTGGCAGCATGTTTTTGCAGTATGTCCAGCCTCCAAAGCTCAGCCCATTAAACAACCAAAGAATCTAGTCTAGAAGGAGAGAGTCTGCTAAGAATTCATTTTTTCAATATTTGAGATTCTGGCAAACATGTTTAAGGATTGTAACCACCCAAAGATGAATCACTAAAAGTAAACACTTAGACTGGGATGGGGGAGGGTGGTGTTTAAATCCACATCCATCATGTTGACAGGTGTGTTCAACGACACCTCTTTCCCCGGCGCTGCACACAACCTTTGGGACCAGACCACAGCTGTGTTTGTCTTCTCTGGAATCTCTTTGCCAATTCAACTTCATTTATAAAATTTTTATTAACATTCAGAGACTGAGGCCACCTTTATAAAAAGATTCACTCTACCATTAATGGAAACTAAGGTTTAGGGCAGTGCCTTCCAAGCGATGTCTCATCGTTTTTACCCTGACCAGTCTTCAAGACAGTCCAACATTCAAACATTCTCAATGTGGTTCTTAAAATAAAATTAAAGCTAAAGTGAACCCACTATAACTGGAAACTTCTTTTCTAACGTTGAGAGTGAAATTCCCAGGAAATATTTTGCCAGTTTTTTATGTTTCCAGTTAGGCTTACATTCACTATTGGAAAAGGGATTCGTTGGTAAAAGAGCTAGAGAATTCACCTGCACTGTGAACTCCAGTGACTGGAAAGAGAAACCCTGCCTCCATTCCCAGTGAATTTGGCCTCCTAAAAATGCATGCCATTCCAGCCTCCTCGGTTTAAACATGGGTCACAGGAGCTTGAGGTTCTAGAAAAGCCATGCTTATTCTTTCAACTAGACTACCAGGACCTGTTTTTTAAAGTCTTTGAATCTCCACAGTTCTCAGTGTGTTCTTTCAAAAACAGATGTAGCTTTTAAAAACGGATACACATTTCACATTTTCTGTACTTTTCCTCTTCCTGCATAGCTGAGTAGCTTGGGAAGGTTGTCAAAATTTCAAATTAACATTAGATCATGAATATAGGGAGAATTAGCAGCAAAAATCTCTTAACTCTCCATTTGGTGTAAATAAAGTACCAGTTAAATCAAGCTTATGAGGAAACCAGTGCCGGGTTTGCAAGGACAAATGTTCTTTAAACACAAGAGAACAGTACCGGCTGCACTCACGACTGGGGGCAAATCCAAACCACAGTGAGTTACCACCTCCCACCTGTCAGAGGGGCTGAAATCAACAACACAGGGAATAACAGGTGTTGGCGAGGATGCGGGGGAAGGGGAACCCTCTTGCACTGCTGGTGGGAATGTACGCTGGCGCAGCCACCCTGGAAAACAGTGTGGAGGTTCCTCAAAAAGTTAAAAATAGAGCTACCCTATGATCCACCAATTGCACTTCTAGGTATTTACCCAAAGGGTACAAAAATACTGACTTGAAGGGGTACACGCACCCTGATGTTTATAGCAGCACTACCAATAAGAGCCAAACTATGGAAAGAGCCCAAATGTCCACCAACTGATGAATGGAGAGAGAAGATGTGAGGTAGGTGTGTGTGTGTGGGTGTGTGTGTGTGTGTGTGTATGATGGAATATTGTTCAATCATCAAAAAGAATAAAATCCTGCCTTTTTCAACAATGTGGTTGGAGCTGGAAAGTATAATGCTAGGCGAAATAAGTTAGAGAAGGACAAATACCATATGACTTCACTTGTATATGGAATTTAAGACACAAAACAAATGAGCAAAGGGGGAAAAAACCAGAGGGAGACAAACCCTGCAACAGACTCTCAGCTCTGAAGAACAAACTGATGGTCACCACAGGGGAGAGGGGTTGGTGGTGGTGAAATAGGTGATGGGGATTAAGGAGTGTATTTGTCAGGATAAACAGCGGGTCTTGTGTGGAAGCGTTGAATCACTATAGACTGTACACTTGAAACTGATATTACACTGTGTGTTAACTATTCGGAGTTTAAATAAAAATTTAAAAAAGCGAGAAAGAACATTACCACATGACACAGCAATTCCACTCCTAGGCCTGCACCTTAGAGAAGTGAAAACATATGCATGCATTTTTTAAGTTTACTTATTTATTTTGAGAGAGAGAACACACATGTGGAGGAGGGACACAGAGAGAGAGAGAGAGATGGAGAGAGAATCCCAAGCAGGCTCCACACTGTTGGCGTGGAGCCCAATGCAGAGCTCGAACTCACAAACTGTGAAATCATGACCTGAGCCAAAATCAATAGATGGACGCTCAACCGACTTGGCCACCCAGGTGCCCCTGTACATGAATTTTATTGCAACATTATTCACAAAAGCCAAAAAGTGGAAACAACCCAAAGGTCCATCGGCTGATGATAAACACCAGGTGGTCTATGCATATGATGGACTATGATTCAGCCATAAGAATGGATGAAGCCACAACACGGACAAACTTTGAACACATGATGCTAAATGAAAGAAGCCAGAAACAAAAGACCATGTATTGTATTATTCCACTTATAGGAAATGTCCAGAAGAAGATCTACTGTGACAGAAAATATATTAATGGCTATCAGGGACTAGAAGCGTGGAAATGGAGGTCACTACTAATGGGTATGGAGTTTCCTTTTGGGGTGATGAAAATTTCTGAACTAGACAGCAGTGATGGTTGTATAACCCTGAATATACAGAAAACCAGTAACTTGTAAATTTCTAAATGGTGAGTTTTATTATAATAGAAATCATATCTTAATAAAGTTTTTAATAAAAAT